AAGGGGCCGGAGTTTCTCGTGAAAGACTGAAGAAAACCACGACATCCGTCAGGACAGCCGTTGTTTTAGCCCAGAATCGAACAGTGTCCTTTCTAATTAAAGGTGACTCTTGTTATACGCGAGGGTTGCGAATTGTGACACACTTCGTCTTTTGGAGTTAACCCACTCTGAATTTCGGCCGCACTCTGAAACTCCGACACACAAACAGCTGTTGAGAACCGCAAAGATTGTTTTATTCAGTTCCATTGCACGCGAAACAGCGGCGAATCTGGCGATGATGGTCTTTTCGGTTGTGACGCTCTGTGGACTTGTGGGGTGGGTGCCAGCATCTCGGAGGAACACGCAGTTCTCAACTTAAGCCACGAGGAACAAGGCAGTATGTTCCATCGACACTCTGGTATCAACATACCTGTAAGACTTGAGGTTCTCACAGCGGTGAGTATGAAGATTTCCGTCTTCTGGGTTGTTGCGCTGTGTAGTCTGGTCGATGTTAACCAACGTTTCAGAGGTCATACTGCCTCCGTCATCAGGGCGATGAGTATGAAGTTTTCTGTCTTCTGGGTTGTTGCGCTGTGTAGTCTGGTCGATGTTAACCAACGTTTCAGAGGTCATACTGCCTCCGTCATCGCCCTGATGACGGAGGCAGTATGACCTCTGAAACGTTGGTTAACATCGACCAGACTACACAGCGCAACAGTCCAGAAGACAGAAATCTTCATACTCTGATGGCGGAGGCAGTATGACCTCTGAAACGTTGGTTAACATCGACCAGACTACACAGCGCAACAACCCAGAAGACGTAAATCTTCATACTCTGATGACGGAGGCAGTATGACCTCTGAAACGTTGGTAAACATCGACCAGACTACACAGCGCAACAACCCAGAAGACAGAAATCTTCATCAACATACATGTTCTCAAGGTTTAACGATCCAGAACACCATCACTGATAATTTAATTGATTATTTTGAATTTTAAATAAGTGATGTATTATGTTTAAATGTATTTATGCCTAGATCCTACATGTCTTTAATAAGCCATTAAATGTTGAATATCTGCTGTCGTCCTCTGCTGATGCGTCCATGGCCACAGACTCATAAGAAAGTAGTCCGACGATCTAGATTTTCTTCAGCTCCTTCAGGCAAGTCCCAAGTGGCGCTGCAAACAGGAGCAAAGCGCCCACCTGTTTTGTAGTCTCTTAACACTGGACGTCCCTGAGTCGTGTCTTTGGTTACTGGATCCTGTGCTTCATTAAGAGTAACTAACAAACGGCTATGCTGCTGTATGATCGTTTGCGGTCCGTTACATAAACTGCAGGTGTTTGGGGGGGGGGGGGGGTCACTGGACGTGTTACATAACGAGTAACTGTGATTTGTATTGCTTGCTTAGTGTAGCTGAGGTAATGGAACTGAAGACCTTAGGCCTGAAATGGATTTGAAATTCCGCTCGGGTGGGGAAACTGAGTAGGATATAAAATTTTATGGCAAAGAAACGTCTTGGATGATCTGGAAAGAGACGGGGTTGTAATGTGTAGTCGGAACTGTGTGATGAGAATGTAAATTGTACAGTATAATGTAAGTTGGCGGCGCTGGACATTCTGATTCTGCTACCAGAGAGATTTTTTTTTGTATGTTGGGGTATGAATTGTTAACGGTGTACTAAAGCATCTGATGGAAAGTTCTGTATTCCTGGAAGTCCGCAATCTAAACTTGTATCACAGCCATTAAATTCATTTCGCCCTCTATTGACAGTATGATAAAATGACGATGTTGTTATGTATTGTGACGAACGCCGTGAAATATACTGTCTGTATCCTCAAGACTGAAGTGACTATGTTTCTGCCCTGAAGATGGGGGCAGTACACCAATGTTTATCCAAAACGTTAATATCTACCCACGAGCCTACGAGAAGAACCTGATCGTAGTCTTCACTGACGTGAGAAATTCTAATCTGACACGTGATAAAGTAGTTCTCAGAGCTCCTGTTGGCGTTCGGGGGCGAACTGACTTGTGGGATCATCGGAATTGTGGTTCTTGAAGATCCTGTCCCGCGACTCCGGAGCCTCGAGGTCCCTTCCTTCCACTTTCGTATCGCTCGACGCTGTTTAACCTTAGCCAAGAGAGACAGAGAGGAACGAACCAATGAATGCGCTCGTTAGTAACAAGCCTCTCCTGTCATCATGGCGGGCAGCGCACCTCGCATAATTAAGGAGCACCACACATCTCTTCAAAACGCCACTGCATGTTCCGAAACAAATTATACTACGCTCTTGGAGGCCATATTACGTCGACATCCGGAAAACGTGACCGCCTGATTCCATTACTTCAACAGCTGACCATTCATCTCCGCAACTCATCCGACGCTTTATAACAGAGTCGCTAAGCAATTTTATGACATCATCTGATAGGCGATCTCAGTACTTTTTCAGTTCCTAAACAGCAACCTCTGCGGTTGATTGACTGTCGTTAAGTGACCCAACTGCATCAGACACCCTGCACGAGGACCTGATATAACAAGATGCGTCCTTCAGTCTGCTTCCGGGGAAGAATAATTGCTTTTATTTCCTCCCCTCTGCTGTGCCAAACATAAGCGAGCGACTATTATCTCCGGCACGTCCGAAAAGACGACTCCGCGGCGCTGTGCATGGGGCACGCCTACGTTTAAGAAGCATCGACAACGTCGAAGCATTCTCGAGGAGCTCTTTGGTGGTGTTGTATTATATTCATGCCGCGTCTTGTTTTCAAGAGAACGCTCATCGAATAGGCCTACTGATGTCGAATTAATGAACGAGTTTAAGTAGCCTATGGTTTGTCAGTAGGCTGCTGTAATTTATCTCTTGGAGCGTGAAGCTGAACCCTTATCTCTATCTGGAAACATGGCGTAGTCCGTACGGACTTCTGTTGCATGAAGAGAGATAAATGTTATGTTCACTGCTTGTCGCTGTCTCCCTGAATGATGGAAAATGTCAACTGATATCACAAAATACGTTTTATTAATGTCGTATTCGGAAGAACTTATCTCAGTGAGAAACTTTTCAAAAATTAATCTGCAGCAGAATGAATTAATCCCGATATTGAAATATTACTGAAGCAAATCAGTTTAAAGTTTGTCTCTAATTATCGTTGTTTGTTAAAGAATATTCCTAAGTAGTATGTGCAATAGTAGGACTAATTTAGTAGAATTTTTAATAATTCGTAATAGCGTTTCAGCAATTGTTCTATATATAAAACCTCGCGAAACCGCGAGACGATAAAAAATGGCGAATGTGGCCCATATGTGGGAAAGATTAGCAACTGCTTTGGTGGACTATGTTAAAACCTCTCCTGTAGAAGGAGCCAAAATGTCTCCATAGATTGTGGGCTGACCTGTTAAACGTACGGAGCAGTGTAATTTATGAGACAGTAGTATTTAAAGCATTGAAATGGATCTTCAGGAAACAGAATTGGATTCAACTGACTGGTTTGTTTCCCGTGGTATTGCGGGTCTGGAGTTCAGGCTACAGAAATAACGAAGAGCTGCTTATCTTACGTTTTATTCAGAAATGACAGAAACACAATTAAGTCACGTGAGTTAGTGACACAAAGCAACTTCAAGGACTCAGAACGGTTTGGTTTGGTTCTGTGTCACGAAGTACCTCGAACTGTTATTAAATCGACAAATATAGACATTTCGATAAAATGGCGAGATATTCTGTTATTTTTTTTAGATATGGTTCTATGGGCATAAGAAGGGTACATCGTAACTGCTCCGAGTCCATCATCATATCCTGTTGCAATGCATAAAATGCAAGAACGTAATCATTAACGCTCTAGGAGTGTAAGAATAGGCGATCTTTACTGCAGATGTATTGGCAACACTGACATGAAGCACTGCGCAGACACATTTTTCTTGGTGATGAAGTTCCTTTGAGTTGTGGAGCCGTGTAGCCTCCGGACTAGTCTTTCCAGAGCTGAAGATAGCATCGAAACCCAGAAGAGGAACATCTTCATCCTCATCACCGCTGTGAGAACCTCAAATCCCACATTGCTTGTTGTTGCTGATACCTGTAAAGAACGCCTTGAAATATCCGACGACGCAGGTAAACATGACGACGACGCCTAACCGATAGGTTCAGATCGAGACGGAGGTGCTTCATGTTTCTTCTCAGTAATTCTTGACTATTGCTGGGACAGGACTTTTAAGTAGGTCACGGCTACTACCTTCCATAATACACAGACCTATTATGAGTACTTGATACAGCGTTGTAGAATCGGACGCTCGAGGGGAAAATGGGCTAATAGAATTTTCGCAACTGCTCTGCTATTTACAGTATCTACAACGAAGTGATTTCTCACGCAGAATTGTCCGTTTAACGGAGTTAACGAGGGAGATTTTGCATCGCTGTGTTGACAAACATGACAGACACATCTACACCTGCTTTGTACACTCACCCCTCCCCTTCCACCTTCACCTCACACACACACACACACACACACAAACCACCAAACGATGGAAGCGTTTGTGTCGATTTCCACAAAACCGTGTCCGCTATTTCGAAATTTTTAACAAAATGTGACCTGCTACAAATTTGCAGTTACATAAACACGACCGTAATGAAATAAAAGAAATTGTACTGCGCGCTATAGCCATGTTTTTAGGGCCTATTCTCGACAAAAATATCATTGACAAAGTTTAGATGTTTTTTCCGTATTTGTATATCGTGTATATAGGCCAATATTATTTTATGTCTTGCGTTTCTTACTGTAACACGAAGCAGTGCGATGTTTTTGATTGTCGCTAAATTTGTATTTACGCCAGACTCTGGCGGCAGATGTCTCTGGTGTCGGGTGTTGCAATACCGATATCGTGTCCACTGCCGAAAGACTGAGATTAAGAGAAAGAGAAAGCAAATATATAAAGGCGAATCCAAATACAAATAAATTAACATAAAATGTAGATGAAATAAAGAATATACAGAGTCTGTAATCAAATAAATAAACATTATTATAAAGAAAACCAGTTATAAGTAAATGAATGATAATAAAAAGAAATGAACAAAACCGAAATTCAACCTAGAACAGAGGGAAAGATTTTAAAACTCGGAAGCTGTAGTTGAACAGCGCGACTACAGTTGGCAGCCGTGCACGTACGTGACATTGCGGAATATGGCGGCCGCTGTGGTCAGGAAGCTGCAGGTGGCAGCTGAGGGTGCCTGATAAGTCTGGGGGCAGCATGCCGGCGCCCCCTCGGGTCCTCCCGGCTGGCGGAGAAGCTCCTTGTCCACGCTGGTCTGCTGTCTCAGCTGTTCCAGCCGCAGTTGGTTCTGCCGCTTCCACTTGGTCCTGCAACACAGGGACCCGGACGTCGTCAAGTGTCTCCCCGGGCGCGATCACCAACGCGCTCGACGCCGACCTGCCACTCACCTGCGGTTCTGGTACCAAGTCTTCACTTGTGTCTCTGACAGGTTCAGGGCATCCGCCACGTCGCTCCTGTCCGCCACTGACAGATACTTCTGGCAACGGAATTTGCGTTCCAGGTACGCGAGTTGCGCATGCGTGAAGGCAGTTCTCCTTCTCCGCGGTTTGCGTCCCTTCGTACCGACGTTGCCGTCAGGGCCGCCGCCTCCACTGCCGCTGACGTCCGCCCTTTCCGAATGTTCCTCGGCCACGTCACGCTGCTGGTGGTAAACTGCCTCCAGCTCCTCCTCAGAATCCTCTGCGGACGTTAGAAACGGGACTAGTGAGCTTGTTCGGGGCCCCGAACATTGTAAGGGGCAAATACAGACCTTCAGCGGCAATTAACAGATTTAAGGTGAGGTCATGTTTGAGTTTGGGGACTTGATTATTTGTTTTGGATAACCGTTGCAACCGATAACCACGTTAGTTTGTGGCAAAATAATTAATAAATCAGTACTGGTATAAACCAATAAACATACAAAACCAATAAAGTTTCAAAAACGTCGAGACAACATAAATTGGGTTGAAGATATCCGTCTTCTGGGTTGTTGCGCTGTGTAGTCTGGTCGATGTTAACCAGCGTTTCAGAGGTCATACTGCCTCCGTCATCAGAGAGATGAGTATGAAGATTTCTGTCTTCTGGGTTGTTGCGCTGTGTAGTCTGGTCGATGTTTACCAACGTTTCAGAGGTCATACTGCCTCCGTCAACGCCCTGATGACGGAGGCAGTATGACCTCTGAAACGTTGGTTAACATCGACCATACTACACGGCGCAACAACCCAGAAGACAGA